GTGCAGTCTATTGCAGTGTAGTGTTGTGCAGTCTATTGCAGTGTAGTGTTGTGCAGTCTATTGCAGTGTAGTGTAGTGCAGTCTATCGCAGTGTAGTGTAGTGCAGTCTATTTCAGTGTAGTGTAGTGCAGTCTATCGCAGTGTAGTGGAGTGCAGTCTATCATAGTGTAGAGTAGTGTTATGTAGCGCAGTGTACTGTAAAGCTGCGACTCATGTGGCCACTGCCGTCATGGCAGTGAGGCTATCAGCCTCACTCTCTCTTCGCTGTCTCCAGCTCGCTCCGTTGATGTCTCGACTCGATCTGATGCGGTTCCCCCTCGGGGTCGTCTATGGAAGCCGGGACCCGCTGGTAGAGGCGAACATTTCTCACGAGGTCGGCCGGCTGCTGGGCGTGGAGGAGTGGGAGGAGGTGGCGCGTAGAGGTGACACACCCCTAGAGGGTAAGACTGGTGCAGAGCGGGCCCTGCTGCGTGTCGACGTTGCTATGTCTCCCCCCCCCATCTCTCTCTCTCTCTATGTCTCTCACCTTCTTTTCCTCTCTCCTGTCTCCCCCTACCTCTCAATTTTACTTGCTCTGTTTCTCTCTGTCTGTTGGTTGTTGGTCTGTCGCTCTGTCGCTCTCTCGCCCTTTCTTTCTCTCTCATACACACGCTCCTTGTTTTTCTTTCTCCTCCTATTCCTCTCTTTTTCCCTCTCCCTCTCTCCCTGTCTCGTTAATCCTTCCTTCCCATCTTCTACTCTAATCTCTTTCCATGCGTCGCTTTTTCTCCGTCTCACACTCTCTGTTCATCGCTCATTTGCTTTTTGCCATATTTTATCCAGCTTCTGCAATAAATCAAACATCGTGAAATCCATGCTTATGTAGTGGCGCCCCCTGCTTTGGGCTTATATATAGCCATAATTGCTTAGTGCCTGTAATTTTTTTGCAGATGGCGCTGAATTATCAGAGGGGCAGCGATATATCCGTGGATTACGTATAGCCGGTGGTTCTCACTTCTGCTTCAAAGATCAACTGGACAATGTCACCTCAATGATTCTTGACCTATTAGTTCACACTACCAAGAACGCGGCAAAAGCTGCACGCAGTTGAAGCTGGTTGGCTATCGGAGGTGCTGCCCTCGTGTGGCCAAGAATGTTATTGTGACAAGAATGAATGTGATGTAATCAAATTGCTATTACATTATTAATAAATACTTTCAACGGGTACATGTGGCACATGATTAGATCATACAGATGTGCAAATAGTTGTGAATAGTAAATTATCTATTTAAGTTGCTAATTATAGACATTTATGAACATTGTAGCAAACATGTTGCTAGTAATGTGAGAGGTGGGAGGGTGTTTGTGCCATCCGTTACTTTCAGTGTAAAAAAACGATGTTACGGTTACCCAGCATTAAATCTTCTCTGTTTCTTTGTATGATCTACAAGCGTTACAAGAAGTTGATGTGAACCTTTATGCAATTGCCTGCTTAGTAGTCAGCATGCGCACATATCGCATGCCATCGGCGTCATGCATAACATGTACAGTGATACTACGAATCTACATAAATACTCTCAATCGAATTGAGTCGCAGAAAACGGTGATCCGAGAAGGCGTGCAGCCTCCTGTGACGTCACCTGATCGCTCTGCTGTAGGTTTTAAACATGGCGTATATAAGATTGACAACACGTACGTTGTCTAGAATCTTAATACGAGCAAGTGAGGCACATTACTAACCGAGATACCCTAATCCGAGGTGGGTGTATGAGTGTAAACGTGCGTACGTGTTGTCTAGAAAGGATGTGAGTGTTAACTCACATGTGGAAATCACAAGGTTTTTGGGTCGCCTGCTTGCTTCCCTGCCTGCCAGCTTCTCCGCAACCCTGCCTAGCTGTCTGCCTGCCTGTCTGTCACCCTGCCTGTCTGCCTGCCTGTCTGCCTGTCTGTGTGGCTGCCTGTCTGTCACCCTGCCTGTTACCCTACATGTCTGTCACCCTGCCTGTCTGCATGCCCGCCTACCTGCCTGTCTGCCTGCTTGTCTGCCTGCCTGCCTTCCTGCCTCCCCGCAACCCTGCCTAGCTGTCTGCCTGCCTGTCTGTCACCCAACCTGTCTGCCTGCCTGTCTGTCACCCTGCCTGCCTGCCTGTCTGTCACCCTGCCTGTCTGCCTGCCTGCCTGCCTGCCTGTTTGTCACCCTGCCTGCCTGCCTGCCTACCTGCCTGTCTGTCACCCTGCCGTTCTGCCTGCCTGTTTGTCACCCTGCCTGTCTGCCTGCCTGCCTGTCTGTCACCCTGCCTGTCTGACTGTCTGTCTGTCACCCTGCCTGTCTGCCTGCCAGGCTGTCTGTCACCCTGCCTGTCTGCCTGCCTGTCTGCCTGCCTGTTTGTCACCCTGCCTGCTGCCTGTCTGCATGCCCGCCTACCTGCCCGC